TTTTTTTTCAATTTAGTATTGAAAAAACCGTAAAAATTCGCTAACGAACGATACTAAAATTTTGTCTATATTCCTCATAAAATTTTAACTATTTAGAAAAAATCTCTAAAGAATATGCCATTATATAGAAAAAAGTATGCTCTTTCGTTTGGAATTGACCGATGTTCGAAATTCGGCTTAGAAGTATCACTTTTTTTCAATTTAGTATTGAAAAAACCGTGAAAATTCGCTAACGAACGATACTAAAATTTAGTCTATATTCCTCATAAAATTTTAACTATTCAGAAAAAATCTCTAAAGAATATGCCATTATATAGAAAAAAGTATGCTCTTTCGTTTGGAATAGACCGATTTTCGAAATTCGGCTTAGAAGTATCACTTTTATTCAATTTAGTATTGAAAAAACCGTGAAAATTCGCTAACGAACGATACTAAAATTTTGTCTTTATTCCTCATAAAATTTTAACTATTTAGAATGAATCTCTAAAGAATATGCCATTATATAGAATAAAGTATGCTCTTTCGTTTGGAATTGACCGATGTTCGAAATTCGGCTTAGAAGTATCACTTTTTTTCAATTTAGTATTGAAAAAACCGTGAAAATTCGCTAACGAACGATACTAAAATTTTGTCTATATTCCTCATAAAATTTTAACTATTTAGAAAAAATCTCTAAAGAATATGCCATTATATAGAAAAAAGTATGCTCTTTCGTTTGGAATTGACCGATGTTCGAAATTTGGCTTAGAATTATCACTTTTTTACAATTTAGTATTGAAAAAACCGTTAAAATTCGCTAACGAACGATACTAAAATTTTGTCTATATTCCTCATAAAATTTTAACTATTTAGAAAAAATCTCTAAAGAATATGCCATTATATAGAAAAAAGTATGCTCTTTCGTTTGGAATTGACCGATGTTCGAAATTCGGCTTAGAAGTATCATTTTTTTTACAATTTAGTATTGAAAAAACCGTAAAAATTCGCTAACGAACGATACTAAAATTTTGTCTATATTCCTCATAAAATTTTAACTATTTAGAAAAAATCTCTAAAGAATATGCCATTATATAGAAAAAAGTATGCTCTTTCGTTTGGAATTGACCGATGTTCGAAATTCGGCTTAGAAGTATCATTTTTTTTCAATTTAGTTTTGCAAAAACCGTGAAAATTCGATAACGAACGATACTAAAATTTTGTCTATATTCTTCATAAAATTTTAACTATTTAGAAAAAATCTCTAAAGAATATGCCATTATAAAAAAAAAAGTATGCTCTTTCGTTTGGAATTGACCGATGTTCGAAATTCGGCTTAGAAGTATCACTTTTTTTCAATTTAGTATTGAAAAAACCGAGAAAATTCGATAACGAACGATACTAAAATTTTGACAATATTCCTCATAAAATTTTAAATATTTAGAAAAAATCTCTAAAAAATATGCCTTTATATAGAAAAAGTATGCTCTTTCGTTTGAAATTGACTGATGTTCGAAATTCGGCTTAGAAGTATCACTTTTTTTCAATTTAGTATTGAAAAAACCGTGAAAATTCCCTAACGAACGATACTAAAATTTTGACTATATTCCTCATAAAATATTAACTTTTTAGATAAAATCTCTAAAGAATATGCTATTATTTAGAGAAAAGTATGCTCTTTCGTATGGAATTGACCGATGTTCGAAATTCGGCTTAGAAGTATCACTTTTTTTCAATTTAGTATTGAAAAAAACGTGAAAATTCGCTAACGAACGATACTAAAATTTTGTCTATATTCCTCATAAAATTTTAACTATTTAGAAAAAATCTCTAAAGAATATGCCATTATATAGAAAAAAGTATGCTCTTTCGTTTGGAATTGACCGATGTTCGAAATTCGGCTTAGAAGTTTCACTTTTTTTCAATTTAGTATTGAAAAAACCGTGAAAATTCGCTAACGAACGATACTACAATTTTGTCCATATTCCTCATAAAATTTTAACTATTTAGAATAAATCTCTAAAGAATATGCCATTATATAGAAAAAAGTATGCTCTTTCGTTTGGAATTGACCGATGTTCGAAATTCGGCTTAGAAGTATCACTTTTTTTCAATTTAGTATTGAAAAAACCGTGAAAATTCGCTAACGAACGATACTAAAATTTTGTCTATATTCCTCATAAAATTTTAACTATTTAGAAAAAATCACTAAAGAATATACCATTATATAGAAAAAAGTATGCTCTTTCGATTAGAATTGACCGATGTTCGAAATTCGGCTTAGATGTATCACTTTTTTTCAATTTAGTATTGAAAAAACCGTGAAAATTCGCAAACGAACGATACTAAAATTTTGTCTATATTTCTCATAAAATTTTAACTATTTAGAATAAATCTCTAAAGAATATGCCATTATATAGAAAAAAGTATGCTCTTTCGTTTGGAATTGACCGATGTTCGAAATTCGGCTTAGAAGTATCACTTTTTTTCAATTTAGTATTGAAAAAACCGTGGAAATACGATAACGAACGATACTAAAATTTTGACTATATACCTCATAAAATTTTAACCATTTAGAAAATATCTCTAAAGAATATGCCATTATATAGAAAAAAGTATGCTCTTTCGTTTGGAATAGACCGATTTTCGAAATTCGGCTTAGAAGTATCACTTTTTTTCAATTTAGTATTGAAAAAACCGTGAAAATTCGCTAACGAACGATACTAAAATTTTGTCTATATTCCTCATAAAATTTTAACTATTTAGAAAAAATCTCTAAAGAATATGCCATTATATAGAAAAAAGTATGCTCTTTCGTTTGGAATAGACCGATGTTCGAAATTCGGCTTAGAAGTATCACTTTTTTCAATTTAGTATTGAAAAAACCGTGAAAATTCGATAACGAACGATACTAAAATTTTGACTATATTCCTCATAAAATTTTAAATATTTAGAAAAAATCTCTAAAGAATATGCCATTATATAGAAAAAAGTATGCTCTTTCGTTTGGAATTGACCGATGTTCGAAATTCGGCTTAGAAGTATCACTTTTTTTCAATTTAGTATTGAAAAAACCGTGAAAATTCGCTAACGAACGATACTAAAATTTTGTCTATATTTCTCATAAAATTTAAACTATTTAGAACGCTAACGAACGATACTAAAATTTTGTCTATATTTCTCATAAAATTTAAACTATTTAGAATATAACGAACGATACTAAAATTTTGTCTATATTTCTCATAAAATTTAAACTATTTAGAATAAATCAATTTAAACT